TGGCCACTACGGAAGATATTGTCGAACTCACTATAGTCTAAAATAGTTTGATCACATTCCCTTAACTTATGAGTAACATTCCACTACTACTCAAATTATTTATCTTTGCTTGTCTAGTTTTGTATTCATACTTGGTCAGATTTCATTTCACCTTCTATTAATGATAGGCTTTACCAGCATAACATTCATCATCGAACTGAATGTGATTCGTTTTATAGTATTAGATTAGGAGTATAATCGTTTAGCTAATCAGCATATCTTGGTGCCAGAAGACGGTACCTAATATAGTTGAAAACAGATGCACCAGTGAGAATTAGTATAAATCCAGTCAAAGATTACTTCACGCATATCTTATGGAATCAAGCGTTCTCGTTATCTTGAAGGCAATGAGAAGACAGAGACGAAGGAATGTCTATTATTAACAAGTGGTACAGTGGTCGTTTAACCTCGCCTGACTAACTAGTTCACTAGTTACTAGCCGGGCCAAAGACCGGGTAAAGAGGAAGGTTGGGTATAGGGCTAGCAATCCTACCCCGTAAAACCAATTCAATCGCTAAAGAAACTTCTAAGCACAAAGAAAATACAAAAAATAAGAAGAAACTTATTCCTCGCTGGAATCGGAGAGACGAAATGACGCCTGTTGGTGAAAGCGTTAGGCAAGCCAGTCGGCCGATGTGTCTTCCCTCGATGAAAGCGAAAGTAAAAATGGGGACAAGGAATGTCGGTAACATGTATGAACCTACCAAGGCTGTCCAGATTGCAAAAGAGATGAGGAGGAACTCTTTGAAAGCTATATGGAAAGAAACCTGCATAACCGTATTCGGAAGTAAGACAAAACACGATAAGGAATGAATCTCGGCGGATACATGGAAGCTGATAGAGGAGGGAGAGGAAGATGGTGAAGCAGAAGATAAACCAGTGCAAAGATGCACAAAGAAAAAAAGAACTGAGTACAACGTATAAAACGCTGAACAAAGAAGTAAAGAAGAGTGCGTACAAAGACAAAAGACACTTCCACAACACACTTGTAAGTGAAGCAGAACAGGCTGCTGGTAGGAGAGACCTGACAACATTATGTCAAATAACCAGGTTAATATCCAGGGAGAGATCAACGCAGACGAAATCAATGAAAGATAGTGAAGGGAAGCTAGTTACCAAAGAGGAGAAACAAATGCGACAGTGGGCTGACCACTTCAAAAAACTCTTGAATAGACCAACACCTGCAACTTGTCCGGAAATATCACCAGCAACGGCAGAATTACAAGTGAACACAGGCCCCCCGACAAAAGCAGAAGTCCTGCACGCCATAACTTTGCTGAAATGCGAGAAAGCAGCAGGACCAGATGGAATCCCGCCAGAAGCACTGAAAACAGACCCCAAGACAACACCACTACTGAAGGTTTGGAAGGAAGGGAAGGTACCTGCATATTGGAAGAAGGGCTACCTTGTTAAATTCTCAAACAAGGGAGACCTAAGACTTTTCAAGAACTAACGAGGAATCATGCTCCTGTCCACCCAAAGCAACCAAAATATTATGCCGCATCATCCTGGAGAGACTAAACGATGCGCTGGATTCAAAATTACCACCAAAACAGGCTGGCTATAGTAAGAACATATCATGTGCGCATCAAATTTCAACGCTACGCTACACATCATCACAGAACAGAGCATAAAATGAATAGCAGTCAACCCAACCTAACTCTACCTCAAATTCATCCACTTTGAAAAGGCCTTCGACAGCGTCGACCAACAAGTAATTTGTCAGGCACCTGCTGCTGCTTCAACACTACGGTTTCAGTGCCATAAATCTTTACCAACCTCACTCAATAGCTATATGACGACGTCACATGCCAGGTGATCCACAATGGAAAGCTCACTGACGCCTTTAAAGTAAAGACAGGAGTAAGACAAGACTGCCACATACTATCACCCATAATCTTCCTGATTGTGGTCGACTGGACTGGATTATGCAGCAAACCATGAGGAGCGAGAAGATGGGCATACGCTGACTGGAACGATGGAAAGACCCACAAAAAGATTTGGATTCCACCAAAGATGATTTATGTCTAATGTCTTGTCGCACAAACTCGAAGATCTACATGCGAAAACTAACAAGTTGACAGAAGAGGCACGGCAGCGAAGACGGGACTTCAAGTGAACGTAGAGAAGGCGGAGGTGAAGATACCTAACCAACAACAGCATCAACAACAAGCACCATTAACAGGAGAAACCTAAAGGAAGTTGTCTCTTTCACCTACCCGACTGGGCAGCATCGTTTCAACTACAGGCGGCACAAGTACAAAGCAGGATGTCAAAACCAGGATTAGAAAAGCAAGATAGGCTTTCATTAACCTGAAATGAGTATGGAGATCTACTCCACTCAGCAAAAAGCGTGAACAACATCCGGATTTTCAACACCAATGTCAAGTCAGTGCTTCTGTATGGCTCAGAGACTTGACGCGTTACGAAAGGCATTTCCAACAAACTATAGACATTCATCAACATCTGCCGTCTACGCTCACTCGATACTGAAGATCAGATGGCCAGAATAATGAGAATAAGCAACAAGGAACTCTTGCTTGGCGATGAACCAACCAAGAACCTATCGCCCAACAAATATGCAGAAGGAAGTGGAGATGGATTGGACATACAATGAAAAGGTCGACGGCGGACATCACACGCCAGGTCTTCGAATGGAACCCAGATAGGAAACGACGAGTTGGGCGTCCCAGTTGAGGGTGACATGGAGGAGATCATGTGAGGAATAAATGAGAGCTTGTGGACTGCCGTGGAGCCAGGTTGAAAAGACTGCAGAGAAGAGGGTGGAATGGAGACGTGCTACTCAAGCCCTATGTTCCACTAGGAACTCAAGGGAAAAAATAATAATAATACAGTATTCCTTAAATCGTACACCTTGCACTAAAGCAGTCATTTGCAAAATGTGCTTCACTCCCCCTTCTATATCTCTCTTGATTCGCTCTTAATATTCGCGCGTTGTGTCTTGAGTTTCTCTTGGCAGAATCCTCACCGATTGCTGGTAATTCCCTAATATTTCTGCCGCCTTGTCAACATATACTACTTATATCCATCCTGATAAGCAACGTCAGCTACAATCTGACTTTCAAATTTTTGTTACATTATATCGTGTGATGCATTTCTTGTAGTCCAAGTTCTATGGAGTTAGTGTTTTTAAAATAAACACAGGATATAATTCAAATTTATTGAGGAAACACTTTGAATAACTAATTACCAAATAATAGTTACATAACAAAATTTGATAATTCGTCAGTTGATACCATCTAGTCAGGTGGAAAAAATTTTTTCCCATATCATCTTTCTTATTAACTTCGAAAAAGTTTATCTCCAAAGAATCATTCACTATTGCAGAACAGAATATCGGTAAATATCAGAGTCAAAGGAAGCCTTTTACAAGACAGAATTGATAAGGGTAAACTAGATATTCATCTTCCCACTCAGAGTGTTCAGACTACTTTGTACTGCCAACTAAATCCTAACATGAAAATAGGTTGCACTACTGTGTTGAATTACTAAGCTTCTAGGGACCATGTTGTAAACTTGGTCAACAGATTAGTTCCATGGTGGTTAGCGGAAGAATTCAAGATATATGTTTTGTCCTATTCGGGATTCGTCATCTGGACGTGCCTGCATCCCAGTGAGTGATGTTTTTTCTACTGGGACTCGAATCTAGTACCCATCAATTCAAACCCCAAGGTCACTAGGGCACGAGATGGACGTATTTTAACCACCGCTTAGCGTTAAGGACAAAACAGTCTACAGTGACTACCAACTGATGATCAACATGTTTAGAAGGAGGTTTAATCATGACCTGAGTAGCCTAGTAATAACACCAACATTGAGTGCCACACATTTGGATAACCAAGGAAAATACCAGTTTGCATATGGTCGTAAATGTCCCAACAAGCAAGAACCCTCGATTCTGGGACTGACTAACGTTCGAAACGTAACACCAAGATACCTTACATGTAATCAGCGTGTTTATCATTGCAGTCTATGCATTTCTGAACAACTATACATGTACCCAACTCGTCAGTCTCATTACATTTTCACGAACGAGCACACTATTATTCTAGCCAATCCTCACATCTATAAAAAAAAATCCAGAAGAATAATCATTATTCAATGTATAAAAATATCGCTCAACAAATATGCACTGGAAGGAAGTGGAGATGGATTGAGGATACAATGAGAAGACCGATGTCGGACATCATGTATGGGAAACGACGAGTTGGGCATCCCGGCTGCTGAGGGTGACATGGAGGAGATCGTGCGAGAAGGTAATGAGAACTTGTGGGCTGTCGTGGAGCAAGGTTTAAAAGATTTCAGAGAACAGAGTGCACTGGAGACATGCTACTGAAACCTTATGTTCCATTAGGAACCCAAGGGACAAATAATAATAATAATAATAATAATTGTATACAAAAAAGTACTAAACTTGTGTATTTATGAAAAGCGAACACCTTCAAGTTGATTTCTTTTCTTCAAAGATGAAAACACACAAATAAGAAAGAAGGAGATGATTCTACCCAGAACACCAACAACAACAAAAACGGTACACCTAGGAAAAACATCACAGATATGCAGAGAGTAATAATACAAAGGCAATTTGATAGATACACAAAAATAGACACCATAACACAACATTTTCTCTCTTCATTATGAATATGAAGATTATTTTTTTCTTACGAAAATAAATAAAATTTTATTTAGAAGATAAAAGGTAAGACATAAAAGAAAGAAATTAAAGTCAACAACAAAACAAGGATGTGAAAATTATATTTTAGGCAATACAAAGATTGTCAATATATATCTCAACCTAACTGTGATCTATCGCAATAATATAGCCAAGTAACAAAAAAAAAAGGAAGAAAAGAAAACCGATTCATTGAGTTAAACAACCAGCTTGTCTTTAAAATTCATCTCAGATTGCAAATTTCGAATTGAAGTACCAAAATACCTACCATTACTATTACTATTATTATTATGATTACCATGAGTTGTAATAGTATTTCCAGGACTATTCATCGGTGGATAAGCAGAATATACAACAGTTGCAATGATAACTAATATAGCTCCAAGAAAGAATAAAATTGTTGGATGAAAATTAAACCAAAATATTGACAATATAAAAGTGAGTACAATTGCCAATGATGATGCAAATCCTTTACGAATATTATCAGCATATCGTATAGTTGCAGCAATTAATAAACCGCCTAATGATTGTATTAATATTGCTATCCATACAATAGAATCATAACCATAGAAAAAACCTTTCATATGAATTTCATAACCATCTTTTAGATAAACAGTTATAATACCTACTGTTACACCATAGAATGCTAATTGAATATTACGTACAGCTACACTTTTATAACTTGTTTTAAGTAGTTTTTCAAAGAAGACACCAGCAAAACCTGAACAACTACAAGCTAATACAACAGATGATAGACCAAAAAATAAATTTTTACTACCACTACTACTACTACTACTACTAGCCTTATTAGTAGCATTCATTTGTTTATCTGTTATCATATTATCCGATTTCATTATATCATTCAACTGAGTTAATACTACACCGGTGAATAAAATCCCCAATGATAACCATTGAACACGACTTAATTGTTTGGATAAAATAATTCTGAAGAAAATTGCTGTTGTGAAAATCTTCAATTGATATGATATCTGTATATATATACAACAGACGACGAGCATAGAAAAGAGGTAAAGATAAAATAATTATTAAACAACTAGTATGCAAATAATTGAAATAGTTATGTATTAAAAAGGAGAATTTTTTTCTCTCCAAAAACTGGTTCTCATCATGAATTGTCACCATGTGGAGAACTACACAAAGCTGAGGACAGTTACACACATTATTATTTGTCCTTTGCGTTCCTAATGGGTTAATAGGGCTTGAGTAGCATGCCTCCATTCCACTCTCTTCTCTACAATCTTTTGAACCTGGCTCCACGACTGCCCAGAAGCTTGCATTTATTCCTCACACCATCCTCCTCTATGTCACCCTCACCTCCGACTCCCAACTCGTCGTTTCCCATCTGGGTTCCACTCAAGGGCCTGGCTTGAGCGTGATGTCCCCAAACCGTCTTCTCACTGTATGCTCAATCAAATCCATCTCCACTTTCTTCTGCATATTTGTTGAGTGATAGGTTCTTGGTTGGTTTCTTGCCAGTCAACGAGAGTTCCTTGTTGCTTATTCTTTCTGGCCATCTGATCTTCAGTATCGAGTGAGCGTAGACGGCAGGTGTTGATGAATGTCTGTAGTTTGTTGGAAATGCCTTTCGTAACGCGTCAAGTCTCTGAGCCATACAGAAGCACTGACTTGACATTGGTGTTGAAAATCCAGATCTTGTTCTTCATGCTGAGTACAGAAGATCTCCACACTGATTTCAGGTTAAAGTTTCGTCCTAATTTGTAACTCTTCAACAGTGAGTATTTATAACCACAAAGTGTTATCATATTTTCAATGCTTCTTAGACCGATGTCAAGTTGTACTGTAACATACTCTGTAACCGATTTACCTTTATCTTTACCTTCATTACACAACACCACATATCTAAAAGTATATATGCTATTTAGGACTACGTATTATGCATAACTGTAGACGTGATAACATAAAATACGTTTTGGTTGGTCCCTCTCCAGATTAGGCTTTTATCTCTATCCTCATATCACTTCCCTCTTCAAAAGAATGTTATTTGGGGTCAGAATGGGCCGCACTTTCTCTTTCCTGCACCTCTCTGATCAACGCAGAGTGTCTCCTTGTTTACTGAGGGATCAGTAGTCTTCTCGATATTCTTTCGCTGGGTAGGTGCATGAGTATGAAAACTAGCTAACAAGTTAAGAGATTCACCTACCAATCGAGAATGAGATCTGAGGCGGTATCTGGAGGATGACCTTTGTACACTTCGTTGTGTGTGTTGACAGCAGAAACCGTCCTTGTGTCCCTCAGCATTACAGTCCCGGCGTCGATATTGCTTAGGTGGAAGACTTGACGAAATGCCAGCAAGGCGATGGGAGTGTCTTCTTCGAGGGTCAGTTGGTGCTGCATGAGTTAATGCGCCGATGAACAGGCGAGATAAGGCCATGGGATGTGTGACCAGAAGGTGATGCACAGGAATGAGATGTCTCGCGAACTGTATATATTTCAGAACCACCATGGTGTCCGGATTGGGCTGAACTTGTATCACGCTGCAGATTATCCAGTAGTTGGTATTCTACAGACATGTCATCCAGTGTTTGCACTGAGGAGTCGGAAGTGTGATCATGTGGGTTCTGTGGCAAAATCATGTCGCGGTATTGGTCGAGATCATGTGGACTAAGCTGTGGAAGTAGCGGACGTACCTTCCAGGAATTATCTTGGTCAGTAAAACCCACTTTGAAGTAGTCTTCGTAATGCCTGAACTAAGTATTTCATTGGCATCAGGATCGTAGTGAAATTCAGTGATGCTATTGGCGATGCCGTCAGCTGAAAGAGGTTTTAAAACTGGCATAGTAGACGATGATTCAGTACGAGAAACTTTGTATCTCGATAATCCCATTTTTTGTTCGAGGAAATTGTCCAATTTCAAACTGTCCATTCCCTAAGACCCCATTCTCCATCACCTCTGTTATGATTTGAAAAGTGCAATGTGCTAAGGATGTACCGCTAAGGATGCACGGATATCCAGTGTCGGCTACCAACGTTCAACAAATCTCTGTTTGATTCTCGACCTGGCTAATTTAAGAACAAGACACCATGGACGTTATAGAAACATGTATTGGGGTCGAAAGACCGAAGACTAGATCAAAGGGAAATGTATCTAATATGTAGATAGTTCATTGTTTAAAATAATCCTATTCATTGGCTGATCCATCGTCTGTCTGTCAGGCTAACTGTAGACGTGATAACATAAAGTACATTTTGATTGGTCCCTCTCCAGACTAGTCATTTCTCTCGATCCCTATATCATTTCCAAATCGATTACATAACCAGTAGACAAACCGAAAACCCTACACCGCCTCAAGTATTCATGTACACATAAGAATGGGATTTGTATAAGCAAAACTTCCCTTTCCAATCAAAATCCACACTCACTTCCCCACCGATTAGTTCATTGGTCCTAGTTATTTTTCAACTTGTTGTAAAGTCCTAGACCAAGAAAAGTGAAGCTCAGTTAATATATGCAGTTTTGTGTACTCGACAATGAGAACCATGAAACCAGCTTGATGTCCAAACACTGCTAAAATGAGTAGAATTCCAAACTCATAAGCCAGTTGTTCTAATCAGAAAGTGATGACTGAAATCAATAAGAAAAGCCTAGTTCCCGGATAGATCCGTATCAAATCCACTTTTTCAACCTTTTAAACTTCTATATGAATAATAACTAAAGGGTGAAAGTACTTTTTTCCTCCTAATGTTAACAGTATAACTGCTGGTTTATAATATTCTGCATCACATTCAGTAAGTACTCTTCAAGTTGTAGCATAATAATATATTTTGATTCTATTGTCGGAATCTTAGCGAACTTACATGTTGTTAAGCTATAATTTTATTAGTACCAATCGCCATCAACAGGGGGAATCTGAAGGAAGTTATCCCTTTCACCTACACCTACCTAGGCAGGGCAGCATCGTTTCAACTACAGGCGGCACAGGCACAGATCAGGATGTCAAAGCCATGATCGGAAAGACAGCAAGACAGCCCTTGATGCATTAATATGAAATCAGTGTGGAGATCTACTCCACTCCACCGCACTCAGCATAAAGCGTGAACAAGATCCTGATTTTCAACACTAAAGCCCAGTCAGTGCTTCCATGTGATGGTTCAGAAACTTGACGTGTTACGAAAAGCATTTCCAACAAACTGCAGATATGCATCAACGACTGCCACCTACGCTCACTCGATACTAAAGATCAGATGGCCAAAAAAATAAACAACAAGAAACTCTCGCTGGGCAACGAACCAAGTGGAGATGGATTGAACTGGACACACACTGAGAAGACCATTCGGGAACATGGCGTGCCAGGCCCTCGAGTGGAATCCAAATGCGAAACGACAAGTTGGGTGTCCCAGTTGAGGGTGACATGGAGGAGACCATGTAAGGAAGGAATGAAAGGTTATGGGCAGTCGTGGAGCCAGGTTGAAAAGACTGCAGAGAAGAGAGTGAAATGAAGGCATGCTACTGAAGCCCTATGTTCCACTAGGAACCCAAAGGACAAATAATAATAATAATAAAACAGTAATTCGACTCTTGGTTAGCGGGATCACGAGTTCTAACTCTACTTCACCCTACCCAGTTACAAACAATCAAATAGTAGTACTAGCTCTTCAACAAAAAGAATGGTTCATATGTTACTACATGAGTCAATATATATCATGGTGTTGTTGCTTTCTCTGAATTGGATAGTTTTATCGTGAAATTTCGATTAACATTCTAGACATCATCAGTACTAACTTAAATATGAAGTGAGTTATGAAGAATTTCCATAAGTGATTCAGTAACCTGACCTAACGAGGTGATATTTGCTTGGCAGTTTCGTTAAATTGTCCTGTCAGTGATCATACATGATTGCTATTAGTGTTTTGTCTACCTGGATTCTGACCTTGTAGTTGTCTTTTATTTTTTTCTGATTGGTTGATGGATTGGGTCAGTATCTAGACACCTGCTGATTGCTGACTAACCTGAATGTCAAGCTTCTAGGAATTCTCTGATCTTTGTTATGTTACCTCCATTGAAAATCTCAACATCTTTAAAATAAAATTCATATCATTCATGATTGATCACATGCGATGATATAAGTGCGGAAACGTCATGCCGTTCAACTGCCAACTAACGTTAACGTAAGCAAGGATGAAGAGAGAGAGAGGCCACTTTTTTCAATGTAGTGTTTATTGTACTCTTTTTTAGCTCGTGCGTTCTATATATGAAGAGAATTTATAAATTAAGCCATTTCCAGATGGTCTCAGCAGTCTTACTGTGACCTTTGATATGTTCATTGAGCACATTAGGAAATTCTCTTTAAGTGAATGGCTTCGTGATTGGTGATGAACTGGAAAAATATCTACTGATGTTATGCAAGTGACCGCAATTTTTTTGGAAAGTCATCAAGTAATTCTCTTCATTTCTCCGTAACGTGGTTGTACTAATTTTGTGTACGGTTTTTAGATTGACTTTAAAGATTACCCCAGCAACTGCTGAAATAACTAATCAGGTTTTGGTAGTCGGTTGTCAAAGTAATTTTTCACAATATAGAGGAACGTGATTGGTCACCTCAGCAGTTGTTAGCATGACCTTTAAAGTCACTCTTGTTTCTACCCGACTTCAATTTAGATGACGTGGCATGCAAAAATAAACTGTAACTAGGACTGCCCAACACATATTTCAGTCACCTGAGTTGATGACGTTTTACAACCTAGCCATCTGATTTACCTTTCTTTACCCGAGAATTTAAGCTGAACTTATGCATAACTGAAGTAATGGTACCCCCGACACATGGCCAATACTACGATTGCAAATACAGTCGAACACTGAACTTTTTACGTACTTCAATTTTAATGATTTCGTCACAGCGATGAAGGACAACACAGTGTACTGCTAGGTACAACATGACCAGCAGTAGCCAATCACATATATCACTGGTACTGTAAGTGATATAAGTTGGTGAACGCCAATTAAACCTTTTTCTGTCCCAATATGTCATCAAACACCAACCCTCATCAGGGCTTGACCGACTTCCCGGTAAAAGAAGCGAAAGAAAAAGTACTGAAGTCTATAGAATGGCACTGATCTTTCATCCAGGTAACTTATGAAAATAAGTACAGAATTAAACATTCAATTGAATTTGAGGGTTTGTGGAGATTTAGAAATTTTTTCAAGTTGGTATTCATCATGGACTCACATCAGTTGGAGGAACATTGGAAACCTGGGAGCACTGGATAGTTATTTCGCCCTATACGGGACTTTTCAGCAGTGCGCACCCACCACCCCGCCAGGAGCCGAACTGATGTCATGTCCATAGTGAGTTACAACCTAAATCAATTAATAAATCTCCACGAACCTCAAAATCGAATCAATCTAGCGATCATTGGTGACCGGCTTCGAGAGATGACACCCGAAGTTCAACGAAAATTCGTTACCAGTGAAGTCAACTAAATCGAACATGAGGACAGTTACTCAACGATGACACATTGGGTGATGGTGGCGCTACGTCGTGAACTGACAGAAGTTGGAAATATGCACCAATGGATTCCAACCCAGTGACTCAATGATAACGTGCTGGCCACGGAACCTGAAGGTCACGGGTGCGCACTGCCAAAGAGTCCCAAACTGGGAAGAAACAGCTGTCCAGTGCTCCCAGGTTTCTAATGTTCCTTCGACTGATGTCAGTCCATGATGAGTAAACATTGAGTCAAACCGTATCGCATAATCACCACTCAAAAGCGCTGCTGTATTTCACTTCTGAATTGAAATTATGGTGATCAACAGTTAAATAATAAACAACTGGGAATCGTAACTACAGGGAAAGCAGAGGTGTGACACATTGGTTCAGGGAGTTGACTTTCAACCAATGGGTCACTAGTTCGAGCCCAGCTCCACCTACTGAAGTTTAGGCAGCCAGGTAATAGTATCATTGACCTTTACACAATAAGTATGGCTCATTGCCTACTGCACGAATATGGACAATGTAGCTGAGTGCATTTTGATTTTGGTTCGAATTACAAGAAAGACAGATAACGTTCAAAGATTGTGTTTGAGTCGGAACATGAGTCATATCTATGACCTCCTAGACTGAAACTACGCTGAATTATAGGCGCTTTTCGAATTCAGTCATTATCTTTGTACAAAATCAGGTTGTCGAACGAAGCTTCGGTATGTCGTTTAATTCATAATTTTTTTAAATATTCAATTTCAAATTAGTAGTCAGTAAATTTAAGTTAACCAACCTGAAATGAAACAGCATCCAAATTTGAATAACCCACAAATAGTAGATTATTCTGAATTGTATACACCATTCCAGGAACCGATACTAATATACAATCCCAAGGATCTTTTATGATATTATGTTTTAAATTATCCACAAATGAGGCGAGAGAAAAATTTTCTTCGGCAAATACAAGAAAGAGACAAAATAAAAGTTTGACTAATTCACTCATAACTACAGCTGTTGAAGGAAAATACATATCCCCCTGTCTTGCACGTGAATATCGTGTAACAAGAACAACAGCAGCATTCTGGAGAACGAGACACACCAAAGCAACACGTCCACGGAACAAATCACCTAAAGTATAGGTGTATAAGCAAGCAATAACTTACTTTGCAAGAATTTAAATCTAGTCAACAAAGAAGGAACCATTCCCAAAGTGGAAAATTAAAGGAGTCAGGTAGACGGTATAGCGGAGTACTTGCTAGAAAACTAGCAACCTATAAAAAAGAAAAACTTTTATAAGAAAAATTTCGGAAGGAGATCAACTTAGATATGCGCTAGTAAACAGTCGCTAAACCGTAACAAAAGCAACCTGGAATGCATGATGCAGGGCTATGGCTCATTGGCTTAGGCAGGTGGCTTACAACCAATTGGCCACCGGTCCTAACTCTGCTCCACCAACCGAGGTTGAGGGGCGGGCAGGTAATATCATCAGCCCTCGCAAAATAGGTGTGGTTCATTGACTTCTGTGCAAATAAACTCAAGATTTATCAGTGCATTTCGGTTTTTCAAACTACAGATGACACAGTGAACCCAAAGTAAATCCCCATGTTTACTCTGTTAAAAACTTGTCGGACTAGAATTGAGAATCACTATAATCCTGAGACAATCTCCTGACTACATAAATTCTGAACTATTTTAAGAGCTATGGAATATTCATAACTGAATGAGTTTTTCTACAGAAAGACATCAAACTAGGGTGACCACTACCAGCAATCCCAGCCGGCCGAACTACAATCTCAATTTATTACGACCATTACGTACTCGAGCTTTCGATGTCAAAACACGATGCCGAATCGGACAGCAAGCAAAGCTTCCCAGAATTATGGGATCTAAAATCATGGATGTACACTATGTTTCTGAGACATGTATACAGGGTCCGAGTGTGGCTACTCACTTGACCTCACCTACTCATTGCGGTAAACCTTCAAAATCCACTTTCAAGCATCTGGGGTTTCAATAGTTGGCTTTCATAAGCTCACTGGTGTAGGCAGAAAGTCAAGTTGTAGAGTAGATGAAGACCTTCTCGACTGGATACTAGTCAACAGCCGTCTATGTGCTGTTCGACTGAATGAGTCTGTAACAACTAGGAAGGATAATGAGACCAACCGACACCTATTCGTAATCTCTGTTGACACACCTACCGGTTGTAGCTCGGTTGGTGCAAAGGAAGAATTCTGGGAGAAGCTGTCAACTTTGTTGTAGAAACCAAAATGCTCAGACGTAGTTATGATGGTAGATGACTTACACGTGACTTTAACTAGGGAAGCTGAGCCAATCGGAAAGGCATCTGAGAGATATCTACGAAATCCCATGCAACGAACCAACAACAGTGATCGTCTGTTGTAATTTTGTCCTGACAATCACTAGTATCTCGCCAGCACTAACTTTAACCATAAGGAGAGACACTATCTCATGGTATCGACCGACATCACAGCAGGTTATATTGCTATAAGCCATCGTTGGAGGATTGTCGCTCTTTATGGACTACTCTTGTTTGGACTCCAATCAAGCACTAATACGAGCTCTTGCATGTGTGCCTTAATGGTCGTAGAAAATACTTGGTTGTAAAGCCTGTCTATGCTCCATTGGAAGATGAGGATGCCAAGTGCGTATTTAGAGGTGAGTTAGCTAAGCATTTGGCGACATGAATGCCAAACTGGGAGGGGACAACACGGGAAGAGAACTAACCATGGGTCGAGAGGCACTAGGTGAAATGAATGAGAATGGAGAATTGTTTGCAGAATTCTGTGCATTCAACGATTTGGTGATTGGAGGCAGTGTGTTCAGGCACAAAGATATCCACAAAGCGACATGGATTTCACCAGATGGACACACTAAAAATCAAATCGACTTTATCTCAATCTCAAGAAAATGGAGACGCAGTCTACTTAACACAAGGTCAAGAAGAGGAGCAGATGTAGGTTCAGACCACTCACTATCTAGTGCAAGGAACCTTCGAAATCAAGTTGAAAGCCTTCAAGGAAGCTGGTGATAGACCTCAATTCAAGTACAACACTCGGAAACTGAAGGATGAAACTACAAAGGAGATCTTCAAGGCAGCCATCAAGACAAAATGGGAGACATCGAGGAACATCCCTGAAGAAACCTGTGTGGAAGAACACTGGAAGTCTTTGAAAGAGATGTGGAAAGAAACCTGCACAGTCGTATCAAGAAGGAAGAAGAAAGAAGACAAGGAATGGATCTCAATGGACACATGGAAGCTGATAGAGGAGAGGAGGATGATGAAGCAGAAGATAAACCAGTGCAAGGATGCTCAACGACAAGAGGAACTGAGCACAATGTATAAAACACTGGACAAAGAAGTGAAGAAGAGTGCACGCAAAGACAAAAGACACTTCTACGAAACACTGGCAAGTGAAGCAGAACAGGCTGCAGGTTGGTGAGAGAGACCTGACGACATTGTATCAAATAACCAGGTTGCTATCAGGGAAGAGACCAACACAGATGAAACCAATAAAAGATGAAGAAGGAAATTTAATTACAAAAGAAGAGAAACAGAGGAAACGATGGGCCGACCACTTCAAGAAGCTCTTGAATCGACCACCACCTGCACTTCGTCCAGAAATACCACCTGCAGCCGCTGAATTACAAGTGAACATTAATCCCCCAACGAAAAGGGAAGTCCTGAACGCCATAAAGCTACTGAAATGCGGAAAAGCAGCAGGACCAGATGGAATACCGCCAGAAGCACTGAGAACAGATGCAGAGACAACAGCGGACATGCTCACACCACTATTGCAGAAGGTGTGGAAGGAAGAGAAGGTACCTGACGATTGGAAGAAGGGTTACCTTGTCAAACTGCCGAAGAAGGGAGACCTCAGTGTTTGCAAGAACTGGCGCGGAATCACTCTCCTGTCCACCCCAAGTAAAATATTAAGCCGCATCATCCTGGAGAGGCTTAAAGACGCACTGGATTCAAAACTGCGACCGGAACAGGCAGGCTTCAGGAAGTACAAATCATGTGCAGACCAAATTGCAACGCTTCGTATCATCATAGAACAGAGCATAGAATGGCAATCAGCTCTCTATCTCAACTTCATCGACTTTGAGAAGGCCTTTGACAGCGTCGACCGAGAAGTAATTTGGAAACTGCTTCAATACTACGGAGTACCGCAAACCTTTATCCGCCTCATTCAACAACTATATGAAGATGCCACATGCCAAGTAATCCACAATGGGAAGCTCAGTGATGCCTTTGAAGTGAAGACAGGAGTGAAACAAGGTTGCCTACTATCCCCCATGATATTCCTTATTGTGGTGGACTGGATCATGCAGCAAACAGTAGGCAGCGAGAAGAGGGGGATATACTGGACGACGGAAAAGAACCTAGAAGACTTGGATTTCGCCGATGACTTATGCCTAATGTCACACAAACTTGAAGATCTGCAGGCAAAAACTAACAAGTTGATAGAAGAGGCAGCGAAGACGGGACTTCAGGTGAATATAGAGAAGACAGAAGTGATGAAGATACCGCACCACCACCATCAACAACAACAACAAACTCCAATCACCGTCAACGGGAGTAACTTGAAGGAAGTAACCTCCTTCACTTATCTAGGAAACACTGTTTCAACTACAGGCGGGACGGACGAGGATGTCAAAGTCAGAATCGGAAAAGCAAGACAGGCATTCATTAGCCTGAAACCAGTGTGGAGATCTTCTGCACTCAGCATGCGGAACAAGATACGGATTTTCAACACCAACCCAGTCAAGCCAGTGCTCTTGTATGGTTCAGAGACTTGGCGCGTTACGAAAGGCATTTCCAATAAACTACAGACATTCATCAACAACTGCTTACGCTCGCTGCTGAAGATCAGATGGCCAGAAAAAATAAGCAACAAGGAACTCTGGGAACGAACCAACCAAGAACCTATCACGCAACAAATATGCAGGAATAAGTGGAGATGGATTGGCCATGCACTGAGAAGGCCGACTGAGGACATCACGCGTCAGGCCCTCGAGTGGAATCCCCATGGGAAGCGACGAGTTGGACGTCCGAGGGTGACATGGAGGAGGTCGTGCGAGCAGGAAATGAGAGGTTGTGGGCTGTCGTGGGACCAGGTTCAAAAGATCTCAGAGAACAGAGGTCACTGGAGGCGTGCTACTGAAGCCCTATGTTCCACTAGGAACCCAAGGGAATAATAATAAAATAATAATAATAGCTAAGCATTTATCTGAACGTGACAGCAATACCCATTTTGAGGAAACCTAATCTGATATTAAGTCTGCTGTAAAAGCAGCAGTAAAGACAATTGGTAACCAACATTCAAATGTTAGAAAACGTCATTAGATTTCTGCAACATCATCCGAACTGATTCATGTGATAAGATCCATTCCAGCTGGCTCAGACCACAATGAAGAGCGAAAGCAACTTAGACGTAAATTAACTGAGGGTCTTTGCAACAATCACAAGTGAGATAGATAGAGGAGGTATCAACGTTGGGTAAAGCTCGGCAACCATTTAGGCCTGTTAAGGATACTAGGAAGAATAAGATGATGGCTAGTAAAATCATCCACAAGGATGGGACGCTGATAACCTCTCAAGACAGACGGTTAGAACGCTAAGTGGAACACCTTGAAATGCAGTTCAGCTGGTCCATGGCATCTAGCCTGTAACTGAATGGGACGTAGATGTCTCTCCTCCAACTTTCTTGGAAGTTTAGAAGGATGTATCGAACCTGAAACTATGCAAGCAGCAGGACGCGATCGTTTGCTTATCAGGAAGCAGGTAGAAAGTTACTGAGTAGAGTAGCGGAAGAACCAGCTAGTGTATGGGAATGAAAAACTATCTCACCAAAAGTCTATATTACTGATCATTCCAATACATAAAAGAAGTCTTCCTTTGACAACCACAGCAAAATCAGTTTGATTAATATTGTGTCTAGGATCCAAGAATCCATAGTTATCCAACACCTAATTGGAGCCCGACAACACCAAACTGGAGAAACCAAGCAGGTACTTTTCAGACCTAAAACAGGGCCCATCGATCAGATTTTCAACCCACAACAGGTTCTGAAACACAAGCATACTTACCAACAGACGAAATCTGCCATATTTTTTGACCTGAAGTTGGCTCCCAACTCTGTCGACTGTGAGGTGTTATGGTAGTGTCTGACTGTGAAAGG